GGATACGGGTGCTGACGCGACATGATGCGAGATGTTTGTGTAGCTGGGTACAGGGACCAGACGGCGCCTACCGACCAAAGAGAAATTGCTTTGATTCAATGTCCGGTGCCATAAAATGAGCCATAAAGTAATTACACATCATGTCACCAATTCCCTGTAGAGGACCCTGACCTGTCCAGCACTCTGTAACCGGGTAAGGCCTTCCGCTTAATGCATTGATTTCCTGCTCAAAGTAAGTGAACAGTTAATGCCGTATATAAAGGATCGACCAAACAGCAGGACGGTGGCAAATGTAATGAATAGCGCTATTTGAATATTACCACAGGAAATGGGAACCTTTAAATGCAACCAGGTGTCAAATAACAGAGTGGGATCCTCTCTCTCGCAGAAGCTGCAGGGCGGCTAACACGCTGCTCCTGCGTGTACGGAGCGCGCTCAGTAAATATCGCTCTCGCTAAATATCGGGAGGTGCTTCTTTTTTTTTTGCTGCACACGGCAGGTGAAAGTGACAGAAGTTGTGGGCGTATCGCTGGGTCCAGGCACTCGAGCATGTGATGAGCTGGTCGAGACTAGAAGCACGACTTCTTCACGCAAAGCCCACAAACGGCCTACTGATCAACGCAGGTGCGATCCCTGGGCGAGCAAAATCGTGTTTAATTAGTGCAAGATGGCACTCGCATATATAACAGGGGCTCTGAAAGTTCAGCCCGAAGTATAGAGGATTGGTTAATATTTTGTCAGCCGTGCTTCTTGTGGACAGCAATGGAGGTGACAGTTGTAACACGTAGATATATAGGTTCAGTACCAGAGATGTTCTGTTCTTGCAGCAGACAACACTTTCAAGTAGGGTGGGGTTTTTGAATAGCAAACCCCACAAAGCACCTTGTCTGCTTACATAGAGACACGCAGTCAGATCTTGTTCCCTGATAGTCCAGAGTTATTTCACACCTGATAATTCCAGGAAAAAACAAAGAGTTACTTACAATATGTGAACCATCACTTATGGGTTCAAGCTGTCAGTGACCTTTCTGGTACAAAACAGAATCTTAATGTCTTATTGTGAAGCTTTGCTTTTGTTTGTCTGAAACCTGTAACTTTAGGGGACCATTCTTAGGCGTGTAAATTATAGATGAATTATGACATATAACATGAGGTGGTATGGAGGCTCGGTGACTGACACTGTGGTCTCATGGCTCCTCATTTGTACGTTTTTTTCCTCCTTAACTGTATTACCTGTGTTTCACTGGATTTCCTCTGGGTACAATTTCCTACTACAGTGAAAGGCATGCAGTTAGGCGAATTGGCCTCACGAAATTGACCATGGTGTGTGGAACAGAATGGCATTTCATTGGGAGGGGGGGGGTCCTTTTGCTGTCAACCCTGTGGTCCTTCTCCAGGAATGGCTCCAAGATTTTTTGGGATCCTGCATAGGCAGGTATGGAAAAATTCTATGAATATTGTAATTTCAATTATGCGTGCATGGATTTTCTTCAACGATTAGACACATACGGTTCTTTCAAAATTTGTGCACTGAAGGGGCACGTCAACATGATTAGGGGCTCTGGGGCTATTTGAGATGCCAGAGGCTACTCTAATTTCTGTGAGGGTGTAGTTATTGACCGGAGGGGTGGGGGGGGGAGGGACAGGACAGTAAAAGTTGTTGACTGGGGTTG